CCACCCCAAAAAACCCCAACCCAAGACCCCCACCCCACCCCACCCCACCCAAAACAGACCCTATCCCAGTAAGGTATAGTAATAATATATTACGTGGGGTGCGTGTACGTGTGGGGTCCTGAATCTCCGAAGACTCGCTCGATGAGCCTACGGTGGGCGTCGGGAGGCAAGTGTTTTCACAAACTCTGAGACGGATGGGGCGGAGAGTGTATCTGTCTCAGCGCGTGTTTCGTGCTTGTGTGGCAAACTAACCCGGGTGGGTGTTAAAATGGGATATCTGCATGGCGTCGTTTGCGTGTGGCGTCGTAGGAAAACCAGGTGCTCGTCAAAATAATACTATCGAAGAAACAGGCGATTTTTCTCCACCCATTGGGCAATTCTTTTTCTAATTCTTTTTTGGCTCAACACTTTCAATGCCCATTCAAAGCACGTTTCTGTGTTGATCTTTATCAATTCCCTTTTTTAAAGTGTTGTTAAAGTCACAGAGAAACATGTTAATTTGCAGTAATTATCAAGGACACTCAAGCTTTAAAAGTCACCAAACTTTGGCAACAATTTTTACTCCAAGTTTACCTCTAACAAAAAACAACCCCCCTCCTCCTTCACTTAATTGTTACTTTTTCATCAAACTAAAACAAATGTACAAGCTTTAAGATGATACCAAAAACTCTATATATGCCCAAAAATTACTGACGAGCGCCTGATAACATAGCGCCATGACACCAAATATGATACAGATGGGTCGTTTTGAATTTCTCTGCGGCAAACGTGAGAGCGGTAGTCAAAATGGGCTATCTGCGAAGAGGTTGCTGTTGAAGACGGACTCTTTCGGTTCTCCAGGAGTTAGCAAACACCGGCCTTTCATTGATGATGATTACAAAACACTTCAGTCTGGTGTGCGTCACGCGATTCTGCTCGCCTTGAAGCGCCACGCGTTTAATTCCATTACGATCTTTGTTTGTCATGAATATTTTTTGTCGCTGTAATAAAAGTAAAACGTTACTCAATTCGGAATCGAAATACACGTATTTATTCACCAGTATCGGCGAGTAAACTCTTAAATCATAATCAATAAAGTCGTTTATTCGTCGTTATTATCAAAGAAGTACAACCCTATTTAAGATGAGATACATCTATTTTGTCCATTGGTTTGGTGCTTCACCACGTACACGCATACATACACACGTGCACACACACGCACACACAAACACACACACACGCACACACATACACACACACACACACACACACATACACACACAGACATACACACTCACAAACAGGCACACTCAAACGCATGCATACTCTAATCTGCACACCGAATTACACATACGCTCTTTTCTCACACATCTTCCCTTCCACACACATCTGTGCATATAACCATTATAGTATTATTACACTCGCAAACAGGCTCACAGTCACATGCATAATATAAATCAAAAATAATATAAACAATGCTAGATACATAGTCCGTATTCTGATTTATAACACAATGGTATTCTGATGCATTAGATCTCCTTCCTCAAAAATGGTGTCTAAGTGAAATAGTTTAAAAGGTATACGGCCTTACATTTGCCTTGTATCGCTTTGCAAATAGTTGTTAATTTCGAAGGGGTTTTTTTAAGTACCGTAGTTTCACGCCCAAATCTACTCAATTTAAATCATTTGAAGGGGTTGGCTTCTACCTTTCCTGTCAGAGCTAACCCGGGCTAAACATGTTTTGACGTTTAAGAGGACAGACAGAGGCACTCGATAAAGTTTATTCCCACCTGGTAATCGAACTTGGGTCTTCGGTATGTGATGGCGAGTCCACAGTCCACACCACATACGCCGGATTCATAGTTAAAACGTGAGTGGTTGGTGGTTGCTCTGGTGAGGCTTTCGCCTTCCTTCCTATCAAATATCTATAGTCCTGATCTCTGCTCCTTTTTTCGTGATTTCTATTCTCTTGTAACACCTCTAATCTTCGGTACCTATACGACCTTATCGTGTTGCAAGTGCTGTAAAACTCTTACTAATACTAAGAGTTAAAACAATGTTTCACAAAAAAAAAGAATAAATGTCACTGTCGCTAACACAGAAGCTGATCTTTGCCTTCATATATGAGGTAGGGGTAAAAGTTAGCTGTTGAAAATCTATAAACAACATTTCTGAACTGAAATAAAATGGTCTACGTTATTGCTTGCATGCCTGTCAAGTCACCCTTCAATCAGGCTACTAAAGTGACACCTTTATATTATTAAAAGAGAACTTTATTTGAGGACGCCTTAATCAGCCCATTATTATGATATTATTATTGTTATTATTATCATTATTATTAATAACAAATTTTTAACTTAACAGAAATAGTGGTGGTATCAATTAGAGTAATTATTTAAAATAAACACAATAATGACAATTTTGTAGTAAGAATAATGATTGTAATGACATAAGACAGGACGAATAAGTATAACATAATGATTGATAATAACAGGTAGATAGATAGATAGATAGATAGATAGATAGATAGATAGATAGATAGATAGATAGATAGATAGATAGAAAGATAGAGAGATAGAGAGATAGAGAGATAGAGAGATAGAGGGATAGAGAGAGAGATAGAGAGAGATAACGAGAGACAGATGGATAGAACGATAGATAAAACGATAGATAGA